TTGATGTATTTATTTATTTATTTATTTATTTATTTGATTGATTGATTTATGGATGGATGGATGGATGGATGCATGGATGGATGGATGGATGCATGGATGGATGGATGGATGGATTGATTGATTGATTGAATGATTGATTGATTGGTTTGTTGGTTGGTTGCTTGCTTGCTTGCTTGCCTGCCTGCCTGCCTGCCTGCCTGCCCGCCTGCTTGCTTGCTTGCTTGCTTGTTTCTTTGTTTGTTTGTTTGTTTCTTTCTTTGTTTGCTTGCTGCTGTTCTCTTGTTTTATTGGCCGTTAGTTTTTGGCGTTTCGGCACCTCGGCGAGGCCGGCTCTTTTGTCTTTCTTTGCATGGGCATCTCAACCACGAGCCCACCCCAAACCCAGCCAAACCAACCAAGCTAGCCTAAATCCAACTGCCACAAGACCTGAACGCCGCCAAACGCCGCCAGCCCAAGCCAACCTAAAACCAAGGCACAATTCACCGTGAAACCACCCCAAACCCTGTCAACTTTTTTTCGTCCGCCTGAATCCACCCTACTGCACACTAATCCACCCTATTTCTCTAAACCACCCTCAGCCCCAAACCAGCCCAATCCCAGCCTACCAATTTCCAGTCGAGGTGGGTGTGGACCTGGGCGCCTCGGTCTGCGACCTGCTGCGCGCCGCCGCGCTCCGCCTCAGCTGCAGCGAGGAGATCGCTTGGCTGAGCTGCCTCTCCTGCGCCATGCTCAGGACGGCTCGCTCGATCCGTCGGAATCCGTTGGAGACGGCTTCCGACGGCAATTTTTCCAGCCCCATTTTGGGTTTCCAAAAGGATTCCACTGAAAATCCATGCTTGGTTGTTTCCCTCGTACGGTTCTTGTCAAAATCCGAACCTCGACCTGAGTTTTGGGACTGGATAGATGGACCCCTTTGCGGATCCAAGGCTCTTGATTTGGGGGGGTCACCCTCGAACGAGAGGGCGCCTCTTTTGGAATTGTTCGAAAGGCGAACCAAAGAGAAACCACACAACCAAACCCAATAAATCGGAACCCCAACCCGGGGGAGACCAAAGAGGGACAAAACAGAAGCCACCGATTTTGGGAATCCCCTCCATTTGGAGAACCAACTCTCCGCTTTTTTCAGTTGCCCTGGCGATGCCAGGCTGCTACCGGACGAGAAACTCCTGAAAATCATGCTGGTGCACAACGGCAGGCTGGAGAATCTGGCGGTGGGTCAACACCAATGGTACCTAGGTGCACCACCCATTTTAGTCTATTTTAGTGGGGATTGGGATGTTTACTGGGGGTACGGGATATTGACCCATGGCCATCTGAGAAGGCGGTAAAGCCCTTTTGAAGGAAGCCAGCTGAAGGGTTGCAGGGCCACCATCCAAGGAACCCTGAGGGAGTCACAATTCGGGAACCCACTTTTGCATGCCATCACTTGCCTTTTTCCTCGCGCCCTTTGTTCAGCTCAAAAAAGTCCGCGGGCGCTTGGGCGCTTTGAAGCTGCAGCAACAAAACGCGCTTCCAGGCAAAGCGCGCTGGAAGCTTGAAGGGCTTCAGTTTTTTTTTGCTGACCTATAAGCCGCCCTTCTCCCAGAGGGTCGAAGTACCCCATAATTATGTACGGTCTTGGGTTTTGTTCAAGGGGATTCGTCAATTACAGCTTCCTGAAATCCGGAAATACATACAAGGTACCAAGGGACCCTTTGGGTGTGGGATGCCGTTATGCTGTGGGTGACCGAATGCTTACGAACCCTGGCTGGGGATCCTTGGATAACCAAACACGCGGACCCGACCAGCCCAATTTGGATGCACCCAAGAGTCCCAGGGCTGACGAGAATGTTGCGGAGGTGGACCCCTCCAATGGAACCCGGGTTAGGAGCGGTTAGGCCCCTCGTTGGTTCTGAGCCTTGCTAGCTTCAATGCAATCTAGTTTGGCCTTGAAGAGTGGCCAAAAACAGAACCGTTAAACCTGGTCAAAAAATTAAGCCACTAGGGGACCGCCTGTTTTAGTCATGGGTTCCATTTGCGGGGGTTCCGTTTTGGGTACCCATTTTTGACCCACAGCCACGAAGGTTAGTCCTTTTTTCGAGGACTACTGGGACTTGCTGGTTTATCCTAAGCCGAGTCGGCCGACTGCGCCAGGCTTGGGGATGCGGAGGGAGCTGTGACCCGGCTTGAGAAGGTTGCCTGCTCCAGTCTTGTGAACTCGTCCCTGTCACAGGGTTGCCTTGTTGTCGGGTATTGTGATTCACCCACAGTATACATGTATGCAACACGCATGTATGCACATAGGTGAGAGTTTTTCCATATCCATGGTGAGACTCGTTCACCGATTCTGTGTCCTCAAAAGCTCACCTGTCTGGGGGGGTGGGGACGCCTAGATTCACGGTGCTTGCCAGGGGATGTGACTTAGCAAAACACACACCAGGAACCCCAAGTTTGACCCGATCCGTGATTACGAGCCCCAAACAGACTCGGCCAACTGCCGATAAAGCAGAAGGCACGTTGCTTCACAGGACCTGCAGGTTGCGATCCGAAGGGACGTGGTTGAGCGGGGCCACTCACTGACTCGCCGGGTTTCATGTCGGTTTCCCTTTCCGTCCCAAAAAGGGTGCCGGTTTTCTCGTGAAAAGCGGGCAGCATTTTGGAGCGCCAATGGCAACCAGATTCCCGAACTAAGGTCGTTGGACATGTTGCGAATGAGCTGTGAAGCAACATGAATGTGCGGTTTTTTAAGCAAGGGGATCAACCAGAAGGAAGATTCCTGATGCCTTTTTTCGCTAGGTCGCTTGTGTCTCCAATTACGTCATGATCACGATTCCCTGCTTGGATCGCTACAACACACCGCTGGCGGATGTGTGCAGCCGCGTAAAGCACGCCCGGACCTTGGGACTTTGGCGGAGGCGGTTGGCGGCGGTGACAAGAGAATCGCTTTGTCGTTTTTTGGGGGTGAACTCTTTCTGGTTGGCGCCGCCTGTTTTGACGCCAGTTTTCACGCCAGACTAGATTTGGCAACCACCTCCCGCTTTGATCCCTGAACCTTTTGGAAACGATCGGTTTGTACTTACTGGAAGTGGCAAAGTGGGGGCTCCTCTTGGCAGCTGCAACACCTGTCAGTGTTGAGGCTGTTCTGCGTTATTGCGCAGCCTTTGAAGTTTTCTGAAAGCAGGCCTTTGGGATGGTCGCAAGAAGGCATACAGCTATGATGAGGCAAAAAATATTTGATCTGCTAACGAAGTAGCATAAGATCAACTGACACTTGGTAGTTTGCTGTTGGTTCCTGGGGAACCCCCTCCGAAGACGAAAAACAACAAAGACCAGGGTGACTGCCCGATGTTACCATGTCGTTTTGGGGAAGCTCGTGGTTTGCATTTGGGGCGTCAGGCGGGCAAGGTTCAAAGGTAGATCATCGCTTGATATTTTTCCGGTTCTGCGGAGCGATGCTTCTGTCCAGGGAAGGCTTGCTTCCATGATCCCTGCATGTCGATTTCATTGCCAGCTTTACCTTTGGACCCTTTTCGGATGGTTTTAAAGGGAAAGCCCAAGGAAGACCGAAATCCATTTTGTGGGGTCCAACCTTTTTGACCAAAGTCCTACCTGAAACGAGCCACACGCAGCCGCTCGCGACTGCAGTGTCCGAGGCGGTGACCCATGGTCAGTTTCGGCGGCCCAGCCCCTGCGAGCAAGCGCATGCCGCTTCGCGGGAATTCGGGTAAGCCCCACCTTTTTTTGGATGTCCCCCCTCAAACCACCAATGATAAGCCCGTATTTGTGACTTTCATGAAAACCAAGAATAATGGCTTCTTAAGGACTTGATGAGGGCTTATTAAGGGCTTATTAAGGGCTTATCAAGGGCTTATTAAGGGCTTATCAAGGGCTTATCAAGGGCTTATTAAGGGCTTAATAAGGGCTTATGTGAAAAACACCTTCTGGTCCCACCTCATATATTTGGGGGGGGGGGGGGGACATCTGGGGGAGGCATGGGGCATGCATGAGGAACTCCATGAATTTGTTGGGTGTTTCTTACCCCGCCAAGTAACATGGAACCTGACTGTTGGACCATTTTCCTTTTAAAGGGAATTTCGGTCAGGTTCCTTGTGAATGGGTTGGGGGGGTAAATGTCGGCGTGTGGTGGCGCTTCTGCTTGGCTGCTTGCCTGCCTGCAAAAACTCTTGCTTGCTGTTGTGTTTCTTGGCTGACCTGCAGGTCTGCAATTGGATGCATGAGCCGGACCCAAACCCAGCCAATGGAACGGTCGCCGGATTTCATTCGATGGAACCGATCTTGGGTGATGAGATTGGCCAGGCACATTTGAGTACAGAGGTTGGACAGATCTCATTGGTGTTTGGTCCTGCTTTTGATTTGGCAATGGCTCCAAAACATGTACCAACATGGCACCTTGGTAAATGGAACCAAAGACTAAGACCTGCGTAACCCTGGCTCTTTAATTTTAAGCCACACCCATTTGGAGAACCCGAACTCATCAGAATCCAAAATACCGGCGACGCCGGGGCGAAGAGGCAGCTTCTTCAGTCAGGTCAGGTCATTCACGAAACTGGCATGGTCATGAATAACTGGGTTTTGGTTGCTGTCTGGGATAGCAAGGGAATCTCCCTACAAGTAATAGGGTCGTAGTGGGCATGGGATTACTCACAGGCTGATTTGTTCCTTGCTGGTAGGGGCTCGCCTTCTTGGGGGTTATGCATGTGCACCGGGAACGGCAAGCCACTACAGGAACTCCATCAACGTCTGGCATGTGAGCTCCAGAACCCTTGCCTCCATGTCCATTGCTCTGCCATCCAACTCCTTTTTGGGAAATGACGGGAGCCTTAAAGATGCAGATGCCTTTTAGGAGGGTTCCCCTATTTCGCCCCGAATCAACGGGTCAGAAAGCAAGAATGGGGCCAAGGCAATGGGCCTCTGCTCCAGAAAAAGTTCTCAGATCGAAAGAGGTGGGGGCTATTTCAAAACATAGGCTGGAGTCATGGCAACAATCGGAGGGTCCCCCCACCCCCCCCCCGCAAAGCCTTTGATAGACGGCATCGGACGCATTCGAAAGTGCCGCAAGATCAGGCCTCGCCCGCCTGCGAGAAACGGAACTCAGGGGAACCCGCGGGTTTTGCCGGAGCCACGGCTTAGTTGAACATCACGACTTTGGGACCCAAGGAGCAATCGCGGAAGGGACAAAAGGGACCCAAAAGGGGGGGTTCAAAACTTTGTTTTCTTAAAACCGCGTTTTGAACCCCCCCTTTTAAGGCACGCGGCATGGACACGGCATGTCACGCTTCGCCCTGAGGCGCGCATCAACATCGGCGGGATGGTGCCCTGGCAAAACGAGAACGAAACCAAACGGATGGCTTCTAATTGGTTTTCCTTTGATTCCATCTAAAAAGGGGTTGAGACCCGACAAATGATCCCAATGGAAAGGCTTAAGGGAAGACAAAGCAAACCACCCCCAATTTGGGAGGGTGGAGCGGGGGGGGGGCCTGTGTGTGATACATTCTCCCATTTGTACTGGCAGTTCGGTTGGTACCTGAGGACGAACATGCTTAAAACCAGTAAGGAAAGGCCCCCAAGAAGAGAGACCTCTTCCAACGGATGCGGCTAGGATGGAAGGCTTGCAATGAAGACTGATACCCGCATTCGGAAGTACACAGCTCGAGACCTCAGCTTGAGCCTTGCCAGAGGGGACCTCCATTGCCCGCACGTTGTGGTGATGCTAAGCATTCTAGGGCAATGTGGTGCGTTGGGCAAGTCGGACCATGTCCTGGCGAACAACCATGACATCCAGCATGGAGCTGCCTATTGATTCAATGTTTGTAAGTCTTAGTTGGCTCCACTTGAGAACTTGACCTCAATGGGCCTGGACCCTGGGAGTTACGAATCATGGCCCCTGACCAAGGCGAAACCAATCTTTCGAGGTGATGTGAACAAAGTCCTGCGCCAGTTGCTAGGCGGTTTGCCCAAGTCTCCAGCTGCGAAATGGATTTGTCCAGCCGTAGAGTTGGCACCGCATGCGATCGGCCTCGCAAAACGCCGCCGCAGATTGGCACGGACGGTCAGTTCACGCAGCTCTTCCGAAGCCCTCGTGGAGGGAGGCCGTTTGGAGGAGAAGTTTCGAGCTGGAGGGGTGAAGATCTTCAGTCCTGAGAATTGCACTAGGTTTCCCAGTAGTGCCCTTTTACCCTTTCTTGGGGGAGGGTTCCTGTACTAAAATAGACTACAGGAAAAAGGGTGCCCTTATTCTAACCTCTTTAGTGGAGGACCTAGTGCATATTTGGAGGGTAATTTTGAGCAAAGTGGTAGCGTTCTGACAAGGCTTGCAGAGCAAACAGTGATAAGGGGGGTATGTATTTATATAATATCGACAATAGACGTTGATAGTTGTGGGTTACTGCGCTCAGGCAGGATCGCCATTTTCGCTTGTCTTGATCCATGTTTTTAAGCAGGGGGACCCCTAAAAATGCCTAGTATCCTTTGATTTCCGTTTGACTGCCCTCCGAAAGGGGTTCACACTGGAGATCCCCCCCCACACGTGCGGTTGGCACGAGTTGATGGAACCATGGCCTCCATGAAACTTCGCGCAGAATCCCCCCCCCCCCCCCCGCCCAACAAGAGCCCTCCAAGAAAGATCCCCGAACGAAGGGGGAGCTCCCTCTGCACATTGGAGTTTTTGGGTTCCCGGTCAAACTCGATATGAAAGCATCAGAAAGGCTCGGCAAGTTCGTCGGACGTCGGTGCGAAGGAGCTACCAGTCGAGTCTAAGTCCTGTTGCTGGGCTCATTTCCCTAGTTTGTGTACGGGCTGGGACCATGGCAAACAAACAGCTTGAATATCTGGAGCCACTCGGGAAGTGAGTTTGGATAGAAAGCCAAGCCCTGGATGAGCGCAGGTTGCCAGCGCAATCCCTTGGAACATCCTCAAATCGATCGGGTCGGATGGGTTCCGTTTGGGGTACAAGCTTCAGGGGTTCCTTCAAGTCATGAACTCCCGGATTTGCTTCCCTGCGAAGCAACATGGATCCTGGTCCGTGTGCCCAGGGAGCCTGGCTGGTCGAGGGCGCCCTATGTCATCCAGCTGCGTATGGACAACGAGGGCGGCATTTGGTGCGCCCGGCGGCTCAGTGGGTTCCACCCCATCACTTGACTGCTATTGGGTTGGATCTTTAGACTTTAACTTTTTCGGAAATCAAGGGGTTTTCCACTAAACCCACAGAAGGTTAAACTTTTTGCAGAGGGGTCAACAGCACCCAAGATCAAGCCCCAGACTTGCCAGTGGAGCCCAAGCCATTTTTCAACCAGGAGTCTCACTCCATGACCCAAGAACCTCAGCTTCCATTTTGGGGTTGTCCACTCTTGTTTCGGGGGCCCCACCAATGGGGGTTCGGGGGGGGGGGGGGGTTCTCCTTTGGCTCCCCTTTAAAAGCCGCCAAAAAGGGAGGTGCTCTCAAAGAAGACCCCTCATGTACACAAAAAATGCGGCGACGAAAACAACATTTGCAGATCGAGTTTCGGAGGTCAAAGACTTCAAGTGCCACCAGATGCTGGATGCCAGCACCTACTGGACCTCTGCCCCTCGGTTTGGTGTCACAGCACTGAATCAGATCTTTTTTTCTTTTTTCTTTTTTTTGCGAGCTGACCTGGGAAAATCCCTTTTTGGAATTATAGCAACATTTGCAAATCTTGAGATGCGAAGGGGACACCTCAACTGAGCAGCTCTATGCTTTTGGTTTCCCCTTCACGCCGTGGCTCCCTGGAGCCATGAGGACCGCAGTCTGCATCGGGCTGTCCTGGAAGCATTTTCAGATTACACGATTTGCGTACCCTGAGGTTTCAGACGAGAATTTTCGGGGTACCGGTGGTCTTGACCATCAGCTGCGAACTATTTGAGTCCGTCTCACAATGTGGATGGTTCCTTTTGAAACTCTGCGGGGTCTTCATTGATTCGTCAGTTTCGAGCTTTTGTGGAGGTTTCCGGGTTCCCCCCTTTGGACAGGGTTGCCCATATTTTTTGCCCTTTGGTCCTATTTTGTTTTTGGGCCAAGTTTAAGGTGAGCTTCAGTTCAAAGTGATGTTGGGGAGAAAAACCCATTGGGGGCCTTTCCCACATCCGAGGTGGTCTGCGCGGCTCAAGAGATCGCCGAGGGATGCTTTACCAACCCCTTGGCGGAGTGAGCATCGCCGCTGCCGTTGGGGGCTATTGGCCGTGTAAAACAGGACCTTTGACACCAAAAAGCGTGTTCAAGTGAATAAGTGGAGTACACAGGACTAGAAGGAAACCACCGAAGAAAAACGCGTGGGATGTTCAAGCGGACAGTAGTTGAGAGGCTCACGTCCTTTTGCCGAGTTGGGAAGTTGGTACCTTTTTCTTTGAATTTATGGGATGCGAAAGCCAATATGGAGTGGGTGTACAGTCTTTTTCAGGGCTCCAAGAATTCCAGTGGTTTGGAAGGGAAGCCCTTTAGGGTATCCAAGTTGGTTGGATTGGCGGTTTGGGGAGTTGAACTCCATCCGTAGACGGGAGCTTCCGCATCGCACAGTTTTGGCCCGTGCATTTGAGCTGACGCCCGACGCCCGAAACTTCCGATTTGGATGATTCGTGCATCGAGCCAGTCGAATGGGGAAGGGTGGCTCAGAGTTGCGAACACTGAGGCGTCCGTGTCCAGTTTCTTACTTAAACCTCGAGTGGATAGTGGATTGAGGCAGCCGCAGGAATCACCCTCTGCACAACACTCATGGAACCTGGGGTTGTAGTTTGCTTTGTTGATCTATTGGAAGGGTTTGCCAGACGTTGGCCGACTAGAATCTCGCGCTTGGGTTTGCATGACGGTCTTACAAGTCGTTCTTGAGTCTTTTGAGCCCTTGAGAAGCCGAGAATGAATGCTGAAACTAGAGGTTTCCGCTTGCTCCGGCTGAGTGTGTCCTAGACTGGAACCCCCCATTCGGGAAGGGAAAACCAAGAGGGAGCCGCCCATTTTGGGGATCCCCAAGTCATGAAACAACGAGGTATCGCAAGTGAGCAAACATGTCAGTCACGCCATCTAGCACTTTGTTGATGGCATTATGGGCGCTGGGAGTGTGTAGCAGAATGGAGCATGTTTCCACCAGCCCGCAACTTGTGGAACAACAGCTGCATACATGCATACCAGTTGAAGCAAAGTGAGAAACAGCAGTGTTGGACAGTTGGGGAAGCCCGGGTTATTTGGCCAACTTGGTGGGTGGGTTGTCGATTCGTTTGCAATAAAGTTCGCACCCTTCCAAGTAGAAGGTGTGTGTGTGTGTGTGTTTCCCCCCTAGACGGATGCAAGCCGTGTCGTTCAACACCCCACTGAGCGCGCGTGGGTAGGCAAATGTTCAGGTTGAAGAGGGTTAGGAAAACACGTGTGAATCACGTGTGAATTTCAATATTTGTACCTAATGTGGGCAAGGGTCATTTGCCCCACGAAAAGCTAGGCTTGCTTTACCGATCAAAGGGCTGCAAAACATTTCATCCACTGGAGGTGAGAACGCGTTGCATGGCCCGCGGGCTGCATGCTGACCCTTTCTTTTGAGACTGCCCGCAAGCCGATGAGCCTTCTAAGCAATAGACGATGCTGGTAGTCTATTGTTGATAGGAGGGCATAATCTCGCCCATATCTCCAATGTGATGGAAATCCGAAACCATGTTTTTCCAATTGAGGTACTTGGATCCCTGGAAATCTCCGCAAAGGGTTTCAACATCCAATTTTTTTAGGGCCCGTGTGTCTTAGGGCAATCGCTTTGGGGTCGTCTCAAGGGAAACCGAAGGAAAACCCACCCAGGGTCCATCTCATTTTGGATCACATTGATCTTCTGTTGGGCCCGCCACAAGCAATGTGCGGACTACCAGAACCAATTTTGGGCGTTTGCTTATTTGGGCGTGTGCCTTGAGGAGGGTAGCGTGCCGTTGTCAGGTTGGTTCAAAGGGAAACCAACATGCAAAACAGCAATCTTCGGGGTTCAAATTGGCACCCATTTCGTGACGAGCCCTAAACAACTGCAGCTTCCTTGGTGGTGCTTTTTGGCTCGACGGCTTTTTGGCAGTCGACCCGTGGCGTGAGCGCCAGAGTGCTGGAGCAAAAAAGTTGACGTGCCAGGGGCTGAGTTTCTGTTCTTCTGAGTTCAGTTTGAACGAAATAGATGGTTTCCACTGGTTTCAGTTTGGGTTCGAACATCGTTTGCATATTCTGTCCGAAAGGACAGGCTCAAGGGTTCCCCAATTTCCATTGTTTTCTTGGGAGCTCGAGACTCGTGGCAATTTTGCATGGGCTCACCATTTGGAGGGCAAATCCAATGAATCCTGAAACTTGACGAAAGGTTCAGTGGTGTGACCCCTACTAGATTGAATGGTTGTGGGACTTACAGTAAGGGGCAGTCAAGAAGGCAATCCCTTTTGTTTACCCCAGAGGAAGCCCGGCAGCTGTTGTGTCCATCTTATGTTTTCATTGCCAGTTGCAAATCGGCGACGAACATCTTGAGATTTGACCTTTCGCTCGGAAGTTCATGGGCCTTCCGACCTTTGCATTTGTTGAGTGAACGGGATGTTGATCGCGGACAGGTTTTCTTGACCAGAGAAGAAAGTGTTCAGGTCAAAAGCTCACGTGGCACCCTCAAACACTCACAGGAGGCAAGAAGTCCCTTGTGGCCTTGTATGCCGCTTCTTTTCTTTCATTTTTATTAAATAGGGCTCAAACGAGAAGACCGCCAACCACTTCTGGGGACGTTGGGGAATTTTCGACGTTGGAAACTCGTTCTTCATGCCCAGCTGTGGGTGTCTCTCTTGAGGTGCGTTTCTTTGCGAAACTCGCCTCCTTCAAGAATTAACAGGTGTTTTCTCCGGAAACCAAGGGTCAGATCTGACAAGGTTTCTCTCTCTCTCTCTCGCTCTCAGGAATACCCCACGCTCACTGTAGCAACCATTGCTGATTGGCCGGGAAGTTTGAAGGTCTCAACTCGGCTGAAAACATCTGATGCCTGGCCCCGTTGGGAGGGGGGGGGCACCTCGGCTCAGGTCGCCTAAGCACGCGTCGGTTGAGGCTCAAGACCACCTCTGTCCGAAGCAAATGGCATTTGACCCGAGCAGAGATATGAGCTATGGGTGGTCAAAGGATATATAATAAAAAAAGGCCTGATCTTGGAGCCAGAGCAAAGAGGCATACCCTTACAACTCACGAAGCCTAGAAAGCTCTTATCGCAGCATCGGGGCTTTGCCGCCTTTGGCCACTCGCACTTCTCCAGTGCCTGAGGAGGGGAGTGTGGAGTGATACCGTCGTACCGGGTTCAGTCGCTGCAAAGCTACGAGGTCTCCAAGTTCATTGCCTTTTTTAGGAGTCTTTCCTCGGCTCAGAAATCTGGTCGCATGCCAGAAGTCACAATGTGTGGCTGCGCAGCTAAGGGTGGGTCTCAGCTGAAGCAAGGCGTGCTGTTGACAACCCGCAGTTTGCCGGTGCTGTGTGCTGCGGTTGCATCGGCTTAATCTCCAAATGGAGCAATGCTCAGTGAAAGGCATCAAAGGGTACAATCTGCTTTTAAGGTCGTTGCTGGGGGGAAGTTCTAGTCCACTAACCCAAATCCATCACTGCATGTGGATGCAAAGCACAACATCCTGCAGGATCAATAGCCCTTTATGCAGGGGGACAACCATGGTTCGCCCAATCTGAACCTCCAATAGCGATCTCACTGTGCACACATGTGGGCTGCTCAAATAGGAGATGGGGTCCGCACTCCGGACCCCTTCTTGTTGAGCCCTCAAACACAGAACCCAGGATGTTATCAGGGTAACAACTTTCATACCCACCGGTTCGCTCAATATTTCCAGAAGTCCATGGCCCATGGTCTAAGAATATTTGGGAGGGACGTGGGGGAGGTAAAACGAGGTCACTATGAAGGTCGTTTGCTTTGGGATCCAATTCTTTCTCATTTCTTGCTCGAAATTGAAGGGAAGACTTGTTTCGCCTCAGCAACATCTACGACATGCATGAAAACAGCCTGCCTGCCAATCATGTGGAAGACATGGGTGGGTCCATTTTTCGGGCACTGGCTCCCTTCCGGTGGGTTTTCAAGGGAAAGCCGCCCTTTTTTCCGGGGGCCCTGAGGATTCCCCCCGTAAACTGGCCGCCAAGCGCCTGGCCGTCAGGCGCCAGGCCTTCAGGCGCGTCATGGCTCGGGAGGCGCTGTTACAGGATGCCGGCGCCCCGGGACTCCCAGACTCGGAGCTTCACGGGGATCGTCAAAACTTCCATTTGGTTAAGACGATTTTTGTTTTTTGGTTTTCCCCTGCTGGTGTTAAAGGGAATCTATCACTAATTACTGGACATTGTTTTTTCTGCTTTTTTTTTTCCAGGGGGCTTAAGCAAGTGGAGGAAAAGGAGGACATCCATTTCGAAGCACCCTAAGCACCCAGTTGAGTTTGGTGACCTCCAACATTGCGGAGGGGTTGGTTTCCTTTCCTTCAAGCTCCGGACATTGTGAGTGGCACCCATGAAAGACAAGAGGCAGAGAGGAGCGGGCGGGCACACAGAACCGCTGGAGGTCTGGAGGTTTGCTGCGATTCAAGTCCAGCAGTTTTGGACGATGAGCATCGCCAAACGTCGCCCTTGTCTTGGCCCGAGGCTCAACGCCATAGAAACGGCTTCCCTGGACTCCGCGCCTCCCAAAGGGAGGCGGTGGATGAGCATGCTGCGATGCATGGGGGCGATGGACGCCAATGCCTTCCGTGCCGCCGTCCGCGAGAATGCTCTGCCGAAGGTGTCCTCACTCACCTACCAAGGTTGGGCCCACAGCAAGGGGGAGTGTGGCTTCATTGCCGCATGTAGCCCAGACAAGACCACTTCCAAGCTGCTTTACCATGTCCAGCTTTTCTTAGTGATATCCCAGGTGAACCCATTCCCTCAGGTTTACTGATCAGACATGTGAAGACAAAGTTTGGGCAAGGCAGACAGTGAAATGTGATCACACATCCACTTGCCAGAAGCTCCAACAAAAGGAAAGTAGTCTGAACCAGAGCTTTCTTTGCGAGGCTGCTTCACTGAGAGGCTGCTCTCCTGAAAGTTAACCATAGAACCAACAACCACGTCCTTTGGTGGTCGGAATCGTCTGGAACACTGTTCATTTGGCAGGGAAGACGGGTTACTGCCTGGTGGGCAGTAACCAGGTTATATGGCTGAAGCACCTCCGGCTGCACAAGTTGATCTGGATACATATCGAATCTGGAAGCCAGGATCAATCGCCAAATGGATAAGGCGTCATTTCTCTCAGACATCTTGTCTGAACACCATGTCAATGGTGGTTTGAGCCCACCCTGGTGTGTTCATGTTCTTGTTCCAATATCTTTGTTTCTCCGTCAAATTGCACGAAACACAAGAGCCGGCATGCAAAATAAGGCCGAATTGGAGAGAAATACTGTGCGACCCAAAGGTGTCTTCAACGAGCACACCTTCTACACGGGCGGCCCTGAACGGCAGCAACCGGTTGCGCTGTCCGCGCAAGCCGCCCGCGTCGAGGAGGAGATTGATTCGAAGCGGGAGGGGTGCGCAATCAGAATTAGCAAACACAGGGCGAGATGGGTTTAGAACAACAAGACGATTCGTCCTCTTGTTTGTTTGTTTGTTTGTTTGTTTGTTTGTTTGTTGATTTTGTTTGTTTGTTTGTCGATTTTGTTTGTTTGTTTGTTTGTTTGTTTGTTTGTTTTTTGCTTGTTTGTTGGTTTGCTTTGGTTTGGTTTGGTTTGGTTTGGTTTGTTCTGGTTGGGTTGGGTCGGGTTTGGTTTGTGTTTTGTTGTTTGTTTGTTTGCTGGCTTGCTTGCTGGCTGGCTGGCTTGCCGGCTTGCCGGCTTGCTGGCTTGCTGGCTTGCTGGCTTGCTGGCTTGCTGGCTTGCTGGCTTGATGGCTTGCTGGCTTGCTTGCTTGCTTGCTTGCTTGCTTGCTTGCTTGCTGCCTGCCTGGCTGGCTGGCTGGCTGGCTGGCTTGCTGGCTGGCTGGCTGGCTGGCTGGCTTGCTTTCTTGCTTTCTTGCTTTCTTGCTTTCTTGCTTGCTTGCTGGCTTGCTGGCTGGCTTGCTGGCTTGCTGGCTTGCTGGCTTGCTGGCTTGCTGGCTTGATGGCTTGCTGGCTTGCTGGCTTGCTGGCTTGCTGGCTTGCTGGCTTGCTGGCTTGCTGGCTTGCTGGCTTGCTGGCTTGCTGGCTTGCTTGCTTGCTTGCTTGCTTGCTTGCTTGCTTGCTTGCTTGCTTGCTTGGTTGGTTGCTTGCTTGCTTGCTTGCTTGCTTGCTTGCTTGCTTGCTTGCTTGCTTGCTTGCTTGCTTGCTTGCTGCTTTGCTTGCTGGCGTGCTGGCTTGCTTGCTGGCGTGCTTGCTTGCTTGCTTGTTTGCTTGGTTGCTTGCTTGCTTGCTTGCTTGCTTGCTTGCTTGCTTTCTTGCTTTCTTGCTTTCTTGCTTTCTTGCTTTCTTGCTTGCTTGCTGGCTTGCTGGCTTGCTTGCTGGCTTGCTGGCTTGCTGGCTTGCTGGCTTGCTGGCTTGCTGGCTTGCTGGCTCGCTGGCTCGCTGGCTCGCTGGCTCGCTGGCTTGCTGGCTTGCTTGCTTGCTTGCTTGCTTGCTGGCTGGCTCGCTGGCTGGCTGGCTGGCTGGCTGGCTTTCTTGCTTGCTTGCTTGCTTCTTATTTGTGTTTCTTATTTCCGTTTCTTATTTTTGTTTCTTCTCTTGGCTGGCTGGCTGGTTGGGCCGGTCCGGCGGGTGGTTAATTGAGCAATTGGTTGGTTGGTTGGTTGGTTGGTTCTGTGTTTGTTTGCTTCGCTTGCCTCGCCGGCTGCCTCGCCGTTTGCTATGGGTCGGCTCCAGTCGCAGGACCTCTGGGTCGCCTGCTTTCTGAAGTCCTGCCACGACGGCCAGCCCCGCGACGGCACGCCCATCGACCTGGTGGTGGTGCTGGACATCTCCGGCTCCATGACGCCCGGATCGGGTGACACCCCGGGATTTGGGAGGAAAACGGGCCCCAAGGAAGTGGCGAACAACACCCTTTCAACCAAACTGCTTTCGAGGAAAGATCTATTTGTGGGGAATGAGCCATTGTGGGTCGCCACTTCACGTGATACGGCAATCTCCTTCAACGCGACATGTTGCCCTCCGATGGTGTGGCTTTGTTTCGTCCCCTTTTGCCCTCCCCCCCTTGGCTGTGCAGGAACACTATGCTCAGCGCGGTTTTAATTTTAAAATGGCTTGCAGCTTGCGCTACATTCAACTATGTTGTTGCAGCGTTCTTTAATAGGCCTTGGGGACGGTTTTCAAAAGGGACAAAGAGTTAGCAAATCACTTGGAGGAGTTTGGCATGACCGCTAACTTCTTGGCCCTTGGCCTTCTCTGGGCCTTTGAAGAGTGCTCACCGTGGTGAGTGCCTTTCCAGCTTTCTCTAGGCGCTTGCAAGCCAGTTCAGCCAGCTGGTTTTTCCTTTTCCTTTGGGTGCTGCTTTGAATGGCCACACGCCGCCTTGAGTCTCAGGAAGCGCCCGGTGGGGAGCGGGGGCCCGCGATTGCAGCTGGCGAAAGAGGCGCTTCGTGCGCTGCTGACCGGCCCTTTGCAGCCCCAGGCCGCTTGGCGCTTCCGGCTGCTGCAGCCGCAGCAGTGGTTGATGTCCTAAATGGCATACCAATTTTGGGCTTCTTTTTGACATGGACCCTAGATGTCCTGAAGCGGACAGATTTCCTTTGACGTACCAGTGTTCTAAAAGCAAAGTGAAGGAGATAATCCCCTCGAGGCATTTCTCAACTTCAAAGCTCCTTTCTTTTTTCTGTCAAACACGTCCAACAAAACACCCCCCACATTTGCAAAGTAAGCCGCCTTCAGAGCCTTGAGCCCATGGGACATTGCTACCTTCAGTTTTGGTGCGGGATAAGACCAAAGATCAGGCCCAAAGCGATTCAGCGAGTATGAGGGAAAGGACCAACATGGATTTGTTGTTTTGGTCAATCTTCCTTGGTGGTTCCCAGCCATCCCCCTTAGCCTTTCAGACTTTTGGGGTTTAGTGGGGGTTTCCATTTAACCCACTCAAAGTTAAGCTTTTAGCCGGGGATCTGAAAACGGACAGACCAGATGTCTCGTGCGTGAAGGGGCCACTGAAAGGCACAATCAAGCCTTCAAGCGGTGGGCTCGTGAGGGAATTTTTACGTAGGGAAGATTTGGTCATCGATGGTGTTGTCAGCGGTTTCCATCCGTTTTCTTCCAGCTTGGGTTCCGACCTTTTGGTTTTCGCTTTGATTTCTCGCAAATCTTCCTTTTGGTTTTTCTTCCCCCAAACCCACCAACCCTCCTGTGTTTTGTTTGTTTTCTCACCCTCTCCATCCGTTTGGGGCCCCAAAAAATCACCTCCAAGCAAAAACTCGAAGAAAACAACAGCTCTAGGGGTTGATTCCCCATTCTTTTCAACCATCGTTCTTTTCGAAAACCAGCTGTTTGCCCTAGGTGTTTGATGGTTTCCTGAAAGGAAGGATCCCTGGAAAGAATGGGGAAGCTTCCCCTAGAACAGCTCGCCAAACCGGCGATTGATTTTCGAGCAGCCTCGAGGACGGCTTCGGGCTCGCCACCTTCACCTCCAGCGCGGAGGTGCTGCAACCGTTGACCAGGCGACAAGACTTGGACCTGGAGACGCCGCTCGAAAGAGGCGGTCGGGCGCGATCTTGCTGTTTCAACGGTCCCATGGGTTTGCCTCAAAGGGTGATGTGCTTGGGTTTCAGCGGAAAAAAACGGGGTTGTCCTTTGTAGTTCACAGGTTGGTCTCAACAGTGTGTTTCCGCTTTCCTAATCATTTCCCTTTGACACAGACCCATATTATGGATTTCCAAAAAGAAGAAGTGGCTTCCTTGGTATCAGTGGAAAGCGCCACGCCCGCAGTGTCAAAATTGGGTGGCCCCCAAAATGGAGCTTGCCTTTAAACCTAGCCAAAAAGAGTACCCTGAGAGAAGACACACCCATATTTCCAACGGTGGGTTTGTCTGTACCACCAAATTGGTGGTTTCGTTTGTAGTTCCAACCTAAGGACACCAAAAAAATAGCCACGAAAAGGTGATATGGGTGGTTTTGGAGGGTATACCTTTTTTAGATTGGCTGGCTTGGAGCAAACTAAATCTTTCAGATTGGTTTAGAGGGAAGACCAACCTGGTGGTTCCCCAGCCACCCTTTCAGGTTTGGAGCTTTTTAGGGTTTAGAGAGCGGCCCAGCCAAAAGTCCCTCCTGGTTTCCTTTTGGTTTCCCTCTAAACCAATCCTCAAAAAGCCGACCCAAAAAGGGATCCGCGTAAAAGAAAGAAAGACGGTTTGTGGTCCCGGATCTTTTTGGCTTCCCTGCCCAACCCCCCTCCCCAAACAAAAAGGGGCACCCGGAGAAACATGGATGGCCCGCTGAGGTTGCTTCCTCGCATCGCCCAGCTCCGTGCCGGCGGGGGCACCACCATGGCCGCGGGCCTGGAGGCGGCCGCGCGCGCGGCCGGGCCGCCGCAGGCCCAGCGCCAG